GTTGCTAGTTTTTTTTTTTTTTTCCAAAAAACATCCCAGAAAGGGATGGGGGGTTGAGGCTACACCCCCGACCTGTGAATATAAGGCCCAGCTAGGGCTAAAAAAGTCAATGGTCTACATCCAAGTCAGAAATACATGGAGCAACAACAAAAGCATAGAAAATAGAAAATAAAAATAAAAAGAAAGATAAAAGAAAAATAAAAAATAAAAAACTAAAAATAAAACAAGAAATAAAACTACAAAGGTCACAGAAATATGCGATGATAGCCTAAAATCGAGTCCTCATAAGAGGTCGGCCGAATCTAGTCAGGGGCAGGAGGTGGCGGTCGACCGAATCTGAAGGATGGGTACTCTAACTGGTCCATCCGGATGAGCGTCCGAAGCCGGAGGGGAATGTCCTCAGGAAGGAGGGTGCGTCTCTGGGGTATAGATGCCCCCGTGCTAGCAAGAAAATCGGCAGGCCGGTGCCCCTCCCGGAAAATATGAGAGACATGGTAATGGATCGAGCGAAGAGTGTCTCTGATACGCATAAGAGGATGCTGGATCTGCCATGAGCCCTGGTGGCCAGATGTCAAGAGTGTGATGACAGCCGCAGCATCCATCTCTATCCAAACATGAGAGGAGGTCGAGGCAGCAATCTCGAGACCAATCTGGAGCGCCTGAATCTCTGCATCATAACTCGAGGAGGCCCGGAGTGGCCCATGGAAGGCAGAGATGAGTGCCCCACCATGATCCCTAATCAGGCCCCCTCCTCCAGCAGCTCCGGTATGTCTATCGAAAGCGCCATCAGTGTTTAGCTTAACCCAAGGGGCCTTGGGTTTCAGCCAAACAACGGTCCTGGGACGTGGATGCTGGACAGGTGAAGGAGGTGGTGGCCTCAAACGATGTGGCGGTGAACACCCTGTCCAGTCTCTCGTCGTGAGTCTACCCAGTGCGGTGAGGAGAGAGAGGTGTCTGTCAACCTGCAAAATAATGTGAGCACAAGAAAATATAATATCCCTATGCTTCGCATTATTCCTTTCTGTCCAGGTGGCCCAAAGGATCAGACAAGGAATAAGGAAGCCCACGTGTCTAATGTGTGTGCGGTGAGCGAAAAAACTCAGAAGCTCAAAAAAACTATCTGTGGTGGGTAAGGGTATATGAGTATATCTGGCATAGTGCTCCCACACTCTCCTCACAGTCTCACTCTCAAGGAAAAGATGGGTGAAAGTCTCGATCTCAAAGGTACCGGTCTCAGCACAACAATGGCATCGGGAGGGGAAGGAGAACCCTCTCGCCTGCATCACAGTGTCAATGGGAATGCGCCGTAAGAGGAGGCGCCACAAAAAAACGGAGATGGTCGGGGTGAGAAGATCGGTCCATATGGCCCCGAAGAGGCGGTTTGGCCGGTTGCCCAGCCTCACTTCTTCCCAGGCTGAAGACGTAGAGAATGCACCCGAAGATGTAAGTCTCCACCTCATGCCATCCAAACCTCCCTCCAGAATGGGAATCTGTCGGATCTGGTCAATCTCTAGACTACTAAAACCCCCACCCTCACCAAGAATATCCTCCATCCTATCTCTATCCCAAAGACCTCCCGTCCAAAGGTCCTTCACCTGCATGAAAGGCAGGTGAGTGACTGGCCTAGTACTCGAGAGAGGGGCCTCGCCGAACCACCACTCATCCCAGAAGCTAACCTCCCCAGAACCCAAAGTCCAAAATATGTGCTCCTGAGCACGTCTGCCATCAGTGGTGAGACGTCTCCACTGTCGACTATCCCGAGCTGTGGCTGTCACCCTGCAGGGATGAGCAGCACCACCAGGGCAATATTTCCTCAGGAGATACTGGGCCCAAAGGGACTTGCCCTCCCTAAGGCGCCACCACATCCTGTAGGAAAACGCAGTAACCATATCAGAGAAACGCCGAACCCCGAGCCCGCCCTCAGAGTGGGGACGACAGATGGAGTCCCACTTTACCCAGTGGGTCTGCCGCCGACCGCGCGGGCCCTCGCCATAGCTCTAAAAATAGTGAGCTAATATCTGATCTAACTCATGAATCGTAGACTGGTGGGGGTCAAGAACTGCAAGAATGTGAAGAGGAAGGGCACAGAGAGTGCTCTTTATCAGAGCAAGTCGGCCGCCGAAGGATAGGTGTCTATGGGACCAGCCAGAAATCCGGTCAATCATCCTCTGACGGACGTCAATAAAAAGCTCATGGGAAAGATGGCCTTTGTACAAGGGGGCCCCAAGGTAAGTGATGGGTAAGTCCCCATGAGTAAATCCAGTACGCTCGTGAATCTGTTGGGCCCAATGGTCTGCAACGTGGTGGTCCATGATAAAGGAACTCTTACTAACACTGACTAGCTGACCAGATGTCTCACTGTAGTGGTCCAAAAGACTCATGAGAGCAACTAGCCCATTATCATTCGCACGAGTGAAAATGATAATGTCATCCGCGTAAGAAAGGTGGGAAATGGAAGGTCCACAGCCACGCGTGCTGTAGGTCATCCTCGGAAAATCGCAAATGAAGCCGTCAAGACAGCGAGAGAGATAGTCAGCCACCAGAACAAAAAGGGAGGGGGATAAAGGGTCCCCTTGACGAAGGCCGCGGGTAGAGGGAAAAAAGGTCGTGGGGCTACCATTAATCAAAACGGAGAATGTGCAGTGTTCCACACACGCCTCCACAAAGCTAATCCAACGGGTGGGGAATCCCATCCGAGCCAGTACCTCTCTGAGAAAAGACCACTCGACCCTATCATATGCTTTGGCCATGTCTAGCTTCAGCACGAGGTTCGGGGTTCGTGTTCGATTCGCATGAGAGATGTCGTGTATCATCTCCTGAGCCAATAGGATATTATCACTAATGACTCGATCCTTGATGCATCCACTCTGATTCGGAGAGACAAGGTGGGGGAGGAGGGGAGCAAGACGACTGTTGAGGATTCTAGAAATAATCTTGTTAGTCACGTTGCATAAGCTGATAGGTCTATAGTCAGACCAAGTCCTAGGTCCCGATCTCTTCGGGATCAAAATGATGGAGGTCGCCGTGAAGGACTCTGGCATATGGTGGCCAGAGAAAAACTTCCTCACAGCTTCCTCTACGTCAGCACCCACAATCTCCCAGCAAGACTGGAAGAAGAGGGACGAAAACCCATCCGGTCCAGAGACGCTGTTGGGATCAATCCCAAACACAGCCTCCCTGACTTCCTCCTTACTCGGGAGGTCACAGAGGTCAACAAGGTCGACCGACTGCGGGATGGTCGGAAAGAGGGCCGGGTCGGGGTGCGTAAGCAAATCCCGCTCAGAAGAAAAGAGAGAGAGGAAGTAAGCCCTAGCCGACTCCCGTATCTGGGACTCCTGGGTCACGGATGACCCGTTGTCTTCGACACTATGGATATACGACTTGACTCGCTTCTGCCTCACAAATCCCTGGAAGAACTTGGTATTACGCTCCCCCTCAGCAACCCAACGCACAGCAGCCTTCTGCTTCCAGAAATCTTCCTCCATGAGGAGGCGCAACTGGTACTCAGCATGGCAGCGACGCATCTCGGACCTATTTTCTGGCGAAGAATCCAAATCATAGGTCCGTTCCGCCTCCGCATACGCAGTCTGAGCTGCAGTAAGGCGCTGAGAAATGTCACCAAAAATCGTCCAATTCCACTGCTTCAACACGCAGCGGAGTCTCTTGAGCTTCTCCTCCAGGTTGCGCATCCCATAGAGGTGCGTAGCCTGCTGCCAGGAGGCTCTAACCGTATCGTAGTAAGAATGGTGGCGGGCCCACATGTTCTGGAAACGGAAGGACGATCGCCGAGGGGAAATAGAGAACCGACAGCGAATCAGAAGGGGGGCATGGTCGGATCCAATTCGAGGAAGGTGCGTTACAACCGTGGTCGCAAACACCCTCGTCCACGTCTCTGAGTAGAGAGCGCGGTCGAGCCTCTCCTTGACTCCGGCCCTCTCCCACGTAAAGGGAGCCCCTTCGTAACCAGCGTCGATGAGCTCACAATCCGATACAGCATGCGAGAAATCTAAGATCTCCGCAGATCGGTCCGAAACACCACCACTACGTTCATCGGGATGCAAGAATATGTTGAAATCACCGCTAATCATCCACGGTAATCCCTCCATACTCTCAGCAATCTCACGCATGGTGTCCCAGAGGTCATAACGGCCAACCCTCGCACAGCTGGCATAAACCAAAGTGTGGAAGATCGGCTCCGGAATATGGCCGGCAACGAGCTTCACGTGCAAGACTTGATCAGTATCTCGAAGGATCTGACAAGTAAAGTCACGCGAGTGGAAAAACCAAATTTTGTTAGAGGTGTTTCTCATCCCAGTATGAAAACCAAGGCGCCGCGAATATACGTCAAAAGAAGGGTCACGAGTCATAGGCTCTAAGAAAGCCGCAAAGTCAAGGTTATGCTCACGAGTGAGAGATCTAACATGAGCAAGGGTGGTCCTATTAGCCAGACCACGGGCATTCCATGTAAGCGATGTCACTGACATGTCAAACGTCAGTGGGAGCGCCTAACTGGAGCTGTCCGTGGTTAGGCTGTGTCTGTATGTC